TCTTATAGGGTAAAGTTTATAAAATAGACAAGATTGATGAAGCAGTTTGGTTGGTGGATGATACTTCCCAGCTGTGCTTTTAAGCCTTTCCTTGCATAATTTGGAAATATTTAACATCTCTGGTCTCTTATTAGCACATTCCTTTTTTTTTTCTTAACACTCTCCTATGCTAAAAAGATAAATAGAAAACAGTATGATTCCAAAGACAATTCCCTCTCCATCCTTCCTGTTTTCCTCTCTTAAGTATCAAGTTGCTCTCACAAAACCAGGAGAGAGTCTCCACAGGACACTGTGCTCATATTAATTCAGAAGTAGTTTTATGAGTTGGAGTCTTTTGGTTCTTTGCCTTAAACATCGTGAATTCCCAATTGGCAGCCCACTAGAATTGTTTTAGCTTCTTGTCTCTAAGTCGCCTTACTGAATAGTTCACAATCCTGGTATTTTAGAATTATAAATGGCTTTAGAAATGATCTAGTCTGACCCTACTATGTAGAATGAAATCTCAGTCATGGTACTCTTATGCCTGATGGAATAATTCCCAGGCAGACCCTCGGTGCTTACACAGCATTAGCACAGATAACAACCTAACTGGCTAGGCTAGTAACGTAGCTTATCAGAGTGGAGGAAGAGATTTCAGAGAAAAGCATTTATAGCCCTGCATCCTCTTTTTGCTTATTTACCTTCTCTCCCTAACCTGCGATCTGTCTTCACTTTCTTTTAATTCCTCTATAGTTTGCTCTGAGCTCTTTTCTCATCTCTCTTACTGAATATTTTGAGATGAAGAGGCTTTTAAACAGGTAATGCTGAAGCAGGAGCTTGGCTCACCTTTAAGGCATTTGTGAAAAAAATTGTTTGGGATCATTGTCAAGGGGAAAAAATGTTGTAGCATTTTAGTCTTTCTTTAAAGTTAGATCCCCGAGGCATTGTGGAATGCCCCGAGTTGGAGTGCCAGAGAGGGCTGCTGATGGTAGGCAAAAATTAAATGAGCTTATCTATTTTCATTGCTCAATTTCAGAAGGCAGTATGGTAAAAAATAAATTGGGCTATTTATAATTTTTCAGACTTAATCTCTGCCTAATCTTACATTTTCTGTGCAGAATATTTGTCTTAAAAAAAAAAAACCCAAGTATTTAAATGAAGCTCTGTTCCTGAAACATGTACTATCTTATGGATAATACATTTTAATTCCAATATTTAATTGCCCTTTAAAACCAACTATCTGATTTGGGCATCTCCATTCACTTATGACAGTTTCTTTTACCAATTAATTTTTTTTCTTTTTACCAAATTTTTTAAAGCAATCTACTGGTACAGTTTTTCAATCTATTTTATTTTTTAAAAGATTTTATTTATTTATTTGAGAGAGAGAGAGCCTGAGAGAGAGCACACAAGCAGGGCAGAGGGAGAGGGACAAACAGACTCCCTGCTGAGCAGGGAGCCTGATGCGGAACTCGATTCCAGGACCCCTGGGATCATGACCTGGGCTGAAGGCAGATGCTTAACCCACTGAGCCACCCAGGTGCCCAATATATTATATTTTAAAACTTCACATTTCCTCAGCAACGTGTTCTTTTTCCTTATTCTGACATTTCCGTAGTTCCAAATGGCACTCAAATGTGAGCAGAGATCACAATCACCTTGGTGGGAGGGCGCAAGGGGCCTGTTAAAGTACAGATGACTGGTCCCACTCCCAGATTGTCTCATTCTGTAGGCTTGGGGCGGACCCAGAAATGTGCATTTCCAACAAGTTCCTAGCAATGCCAGTGCTTCTGTTCTTAAGTCTACATGTTGAGAAGCAGTGATCTAGATAAAATATTGTAAAAGGTGCTGGTGGTAGTATTGACTAAGACAGTGGCAGTGGAGATGGAGAGAGGTGGATGAGTTTGACAAGTATTTAGGAAGTAGAATCAACAGGGCTTATCCATGGTGTAGACAGGAGTATTGGTAAGCAAGGGGAAGGACTCAAGCAAGTCTCTTGACTTTGGTAGCTTGAACAAATACATGGATGTATCAAGTACAGAAATAGGAAGTGAGCAGGGTGGGAGGGTTAGACTGTGGTGAGAAATCATAAACTCCATTTAAGTAAAATATTTTTAAAATGTCAAGAGCAATGCCTGACCTAGAGTGGATTTGCAGTAAATGACAGATGTTGTTCTTGCTGTTCTGACTACCTTGACTATAAAAACTGACCAGTCCTCATCACTCCACCCTGCCAGAGGTGACCTCCCCAGTCCTTTAGTCAGCAACCACATTCCAAGACTAAGAATTACTCCTTTGTGTAAGATTCAGGTGTGAACAAGGAAATTTCCTGCTTATAGCTATCACCTCATGGTATGAGTGGATAGGGGAAGGAAAAAGCAAAGGAAGGGAAAGGGGAGAAAGGTTCTAATTAATAGAGAATTATTGCCCTCATTATTACAGATAACCTCAAAACAATCATATTACATAGGTGGAATTATCCCACTTTACAGATGAAAAAAAATAACTTGCCCAATGTCTTCTAAAAACTTGAGTGAAAATTCAAACCCAGCTCTGTCCTGAACCCATTATATTTGGGCTTTCTACTCCAAACTCCACCTTTAACGCCAAGCAATAGACTGGTTATCTTTCTTATGTCAGAATGACGACCTCAATAGGCTGCAGGCAATACCCTACAATTTCTAGACTAGTGACTTTTAAACCTTTTAAGATCCTGACTCATAGCAAGAACCACTTTTTACACAGCAAGCCATATTTACATTTATACATATATGCCTGTATATATATACATATGTTACACATACATATGTGCAACAATGACTAATTTTCAAGAAATAACAGCGAGATAGGTATTATCAATATCAACTCTATGAATACATTCTGATACATTCATTGCAATAAATATTTATTAGGACTTACAGAATTGATTTCACAATCAACTTTTGGTTGGGTCTCCACTAGATTTCTGGAAAATCTTCTAGATCCCTTTCTTTCCTTTTAACTCACCAACACCATAACAATTCCAATTAGCGAGATGAAAGAGAGCTCTGATGGAAAGGGAGAAAGGAGAGTAGGATTCCCTCATGGGATGTAATTCTATTATAAAAAGCTCTTAGTAAACGGGACTGTATGGGATCTGAAATAGTATGATGATGATCATGACGTTGATGATTATTCTTTTACATTTTGTTTAAAAGTCCCTAAAGAAATTTTTGAAAGTAATGACTAACATTAACTAAAGGAGAAAAGACTCAAATTTTGGAGAAGTAATTGGACTCATTTTGAGTATACACATTATGGAGTTGAGATTAAAGAGGTTCCGCTTCATTTTTTAAATGGTCAACAAAATTATTCATGTGGTAGTTGAATAGTGACTCCTCCTCAAAAGTTCTTATTTATCTACAGACAGCAAAATTATAGGTATCAACATCCCCCCCAACCCCACCAAATATTACTTATCTCATTTCCCTATATATTTATTAGGAAGCACCGAGAAAAGGAACTTAAATATCTAGGGTAGGTTGATTTCTAGAAGTACCAAAATGCTGGTTAAGGTTTAATTATATTGATAGGTGTATATGTGTTGTTAAAAAGTACCTATCTTTAGATGACCTTGAAATATAATACCACCTCTGAGGAGTCGGGTGGCAATTAGTGAGGCCTTGCCTCATCTGGGATTGGGAAAATATAGCATGGAAAGGTTAAATGCTTTGCCCCTAGGTTGTCTGATGAGTCAAGAAGAAAGAGTCATGATTGGTGCTGGAGACTTAGCCTTCTCCCAGCCCAGCATCTTAGAGCGTGCATCGGGTATACCTCCCACATCAACCCAGGAAAGCATCAGGCCTGGCCATGTTGACTCAGTGCCCAGCACTCTGGACACTTCAACATGATGCCTACTTACTCTCAAGGGAAATCTTTCTCATTTTTTTTCTTTCTTTTCAAAAATCAGGGATTTTCATCATCAGGGATTATACTGATAAGTTTAATTACTTTGGGAAAAGTTTTTTCAGTTTTGAACTTTCCTGTAAGGGCTATTCACCATTTGCATTGATAGGTGCTCCCAGTAATTATTGCTTCAGGAAGGGGATTTCAAGGACATGCTCTTACTCCCCTCCTTTCATGTGGACTCAGAAGGAAAAACAAAAGGAAAACCGGGAGAGGCCTCTAAAGCAAGCAAGGACTCTCTCCCTGGGGCATCTCACCTGTTTTTTTTTTTTTTAACCAATCAGCCCGTTGACATAGGGGCCCTTTCCTTGTTTCTTAACTGTTTCAAGAAGTGATCAATCACCAAATCAGATGTCACGTGTATTGTCATCTCCCAGAGAAAATTCTAAGTGGTTTTTAAAGAACGAATCCCAAAAGGATAAATACCTCTACAGGGCTATTTCCCTCATAAAATAAATCCGTCATGGATCTTGTCCTTGGAAAAACAGATACACGGGACCCCGAGTGTGTGTTGGCTAAACGGTTACAACCGTAACATTTAGTTTTGAAAACGGCCCCTGCCTATGCCCTCACTGTAAGGCAACCATTAAAACCCAAAGCGCATTTCCCCTAAATAGCTGAAACCCCTAGCAATGGAGGGCATTGTGGGCACCCAGGAACCAGACCGTCCCGCTCATAATAAAAACGGTACACACAATGGCTCGTGCCCAAGCTTTCACACTTGTTTTTGGCAAGTCTTGGCTGACAGCCAAAGAGTTGTGTTTCCTTAGGTCGCTTGACTTCACGAGGGCGAGGTGTGGAGTGTATAACGACACCGACGACTCGGGAAACTTTCGGCGGGAGCAGCTTCAAGATCCCACTTTCTCGAGTTTCTGGGGCCGAAAATGCCTCCGTGAAGGGCGCGATTGGAAGCTCGGGCAGGCGGGAGACGCCGCGCGGCTGCTCTTTCAACAGGCGATTTGTTCTCCCGTCTGTGGCTCATTTCCATGCAAACAGCCCGACATCAGAGCACCTTTTGTTGCTAAACGCTTTCTTCAGCATCGAGGGGAGAGAGTCATGTGGAGCTGGAAGAGCTCATTTTCGAGAGAGGGGTCCCGAGGAGCGCCCGCCCAGGGGCAGAGGCACCGCGCTCAGCCCAGCGGGGCCCTGCCCAGACTTGCTGGAAGGAATGAGTCGCGTGCCTTAGTTAGCTGGTCCCGGTCGCAGGAAGAAACGCCTGTGCAGCGGCTTTAATTGCTGCGGGACCGCCGGAGTTCCCCGCCGTACAACTCGGTGGTGCGGACTTTGCCTTCGGCTACCCCGCGGCCGCGCCGAGCCGGGGTGGGAAAGTTTCTGGAGTTGTCAGTCGCGCTGCCCGCCGCCACCTAGAGCCGAGGTGCGGGCGCCTGCGAGGGGGCCCCCGCGGGATCGCCGGGGCGGCCGGGGCATGCGGCGCGGGGGCGCGGCTCGCTGACGCGGCGGGCGGGGACCGGCGCCGGGGGGCCGGCCGCGCGCTGGTGCGGAGCGAGGGCGCCCGGGGGACCCGGACGCACGGCCGGCGCGCGCGCGCGCGCGGGACGCGGCCATGGAGGACGCGGGAGCAGCCGGCCCGGGGCCGGAGCCCGAGCCGGAGCCCGAGCCCGAGCCGGAGCCCGAGGGGGGCGCGGGCATGTCCGAGGCGTTCTCCCGGCTCTGGACCGACGTGATGGGCATCCTGGTGAGTTACCTGGAGCCGGCAGGCGCGGGAGGGGCGGGGCGCGGGCCCCCGTGCGGAACAGCCCCCTCCTCGACCCGCGCTCCCTTCGCGCTCGCCCACCTGGCAAGCCCACTCCTCCGAGTCGTCCTTCTCTCGCTCCAGGTCCCAGGGGCTTAAATACACACGGCATAGGATTTCAAACCCTAATTAAAAAATAACCAGCCACAGATCACATCAAAGATCTTTCTTAAACAATCGGGTACATAGTCTCCAGTTTAATCTGGGACACCTGCTGAGAAGTTGGTGTGGAAAAGGCTACAAAAGACTCCTTCAAAGAGTAGATGTAAATAAATAGTATTTGGCTGTTGTGCCTTCACAGTTGGACTGGGAAAGAGGCTGATGTGACTGATGTTTATCTCTTCACCATTTGTTGTCTGACCACGAGAGGAAAACAAACCATCTTCTTACTCAGAACCACCAAAGAGTGTACTTACTCTGTGTGTTTTTCAACTTGTAGAATTACAGGATATTTGTTGTTTTATGTTTGGAACTAAAAACAATAGGACTTATTCTGCTAAATCTGTATTGTCATGTATTTTGAAATGCCCAGTAACTAAAACCGCCCATAGATTTGGCATAATTTCTGAAAAATAGTTCTTATGCATGGAGGATGAAGCTTTAACTTGTTCAGCGTTCAAAGCCCTGGGGAATTAGTAGATGTATTTTGGTGGAGCTGTAGGTAGGCAGGTAGACCGGAATCGGGTGGGTGGCGGTTATTACAGTTAGAGATCTTAATCCACACATAGTCAACTTCAGTGTAAAGATTTGGAATTTGCAGTTGTCGGAAAACCGTCTGTATTTACTTTGGGGTTTTTTATCTTTCTGATGGAAGGTATAGTTTTTGAAAAGAAATTTTTTAATAGGAATTACGTACCATTTTTTTGCATAGGAATTAAGCACTTGTGCTTTGGAGTGAGTGAGGCTGGGTCAAATCCCCACTCTCCCGTTGACTGACTGACTGCATGACCTTGGCCAAGGTATTCAACCCCACTGATACTCAGTTTCATTACCTGCAAAATGAGGCAAAGAAATGAGATCTTCAGTTTCGTTACCTTGCTTCTTAGGTTCTCTAAGTTTTAGTTACGATGATGTATAGCTAGTGCTCAGCATACTGGCATATAGTAGGTGCTCAATAAATGATAGCTCTATTTTTCCCCCCCTGCAAATAGTCTCGTGTCTCATCATTCCAGACATCCTCAAGTCTCACCTAATTCATTTTTAGGTGTTCATTGGTGTTTAGGATTCTTATACAGAAAACCAGGGAAGATTGGTCAAAGATTTCTGTTTTTTTCACTCTCCAGTATTTAGAAAAAGTTTATTTTTAAAAAAATTTAAAATCTCAAGTTTTTGCATTTTCTGAACTTTATTGATGAATATGGGCCTTCAGTGAAATTTCAGAAAACCCAGTGAATATTTTGAAGTTAGTGATAAGATTGTTTTTTTACGTTAGTCAAGCAGGAGACTTATCTTGTTATTTCTTGCTTAGATCCTGCTCTGTAAATTTTTAGACACAGAAAATTGGTCTCATAACATCACATTGCATCCCTTGCTTGGGTGTGGTTGTGGAGGGAAGAGCTGGAGGGGCTCACTTAAATGAGAGTGTGGTCTCAGGGTTGCTTGGGAGGGGGGTGGTGGTTGGCACGTGGCACTTTCTGAAGATTTGCTTTCCCTTCCCTGGCAGATTCCAGCGCTCTTGGGTCAGTTGTAGCTGAGTGTTCTTTGGCTGATTTAAAAGATGGGGTGGGGCTGGAGAAGCTCAAACCTGTTATTCAAAGGACAGTTGTAGGAGAAAAGAAAATCTGTACTTCTTACAGAGCCAGTAGTTCAGTGCGAGGCTGGAAAGAATGTAAATGATTGTCCCAAAGCGAGTATGTTCACTTCTGTTTTCCCATCTTTTAGACAATCTTATTTTCCTTTGGGGTAAACATGGGCATCCGGATTGTGCCTTAGTAAAATTCAGAAGATATGGTTTATCTCCCCTTTTCATGTCTGTAAAAAGTCACCAGGTTGAAGGATCTTTATTCTTTCTGCTTTTAGAAAACTGTCATCCACGTGTTTAGAGGAAACTGTCTTTCTAGAAATATATCAAGACAGAATTGACAGTTGACTTCGTTCTTTCTGAGATAAAAGATAACATTTCCTTCATTTTTTTTAAAGATTTTATTTATTTATTTGACAGAGAGAGAGAGAGTACAAGTAGGCAGAGAGGTAGGCAGAGGGGGAGGGAGAGGGAGAAGCAGACTCTCCACTGAGCAGGGAGCCCGACATGGGGCTTGATCCCAGGACCCTGGGATCATGACCTGAGCCGAAGGCAGCCGCTTAACCGACTGAGCTGCCCAGGTGCCCTTCCTTCATTTTTAAAATAAGATTTTGCAGTCTATCAGCCTGCACAGGTGAAGTGACTTGACCAATGGCACACACACCTTGTTACAATTACAGAGTGCACCCCAGTTCTCAGGGTGATGCCATGATACTCCCCAGTTCACTGTCCCAGATCAATAAAGCAGAAATTTAATTACATCCGGTATTTTAGGAAAATGCTACTTGGGTCTTTTTAAGTACTGAACTTGAGGGGAGTAGAGGTACTAGGGGAATTATACATCCAAACACACAAGACTTCAGGCACAGTAGCTACTTTTTGGATTCCCCTATTTGTAGAAATCAAACCTCCAAGGCTATTGAGTTAAACATTTTTTTAGGTGAATGAGCACAGCTCCCTTTGCCAACTTGAGAGGCACTGAACATCCGCCCCAGGGATTTTGTAGGTTCTAACCTTCTGGGGCATAGATCTCAGTAAATACAGGATGGTTGTTTGAGTTCATTAGGACACATTTTGCATTTAATTCAGTCTTGCACAGTTCTGAACCAACCAGTTGCTTTTAGATAATTTGTTAACAAAAATGCTTATTTAGAGAAGAAATAATAGTATAATTTATGGCATGAAAATGTTCAGGCTGTGCTAGAATGAATAAATGCTAGTAAGTGAATATGTAAATAGAGAATTTGGAGAAAACGAGCTTACCAAGCACTAGCCCTTGTACCAGTGCCTGGAGGGCAGGGTCAGGATTTTATTCCTCCCCCCTTTCTTTAATCTCCAGTGCCTGGGACTTACTGGGTCCTGAGTACATGGTTTTATTGAATGGAAAAGGAAGAAAGTATGTACTTCTTAAATGCAGGAGCCACATCAAAATCCAGTTCTGTAGAGACCGTACGCCCTGTAATGGGGTGCATTTATGAAGACATTAATTCTGCTCTTGCTTGAACCTAGCGCTCCAGCAGTTTCTTTATGCAAACCAGAATCCTGGTGCTTCCACTGGAAATGGTAATGGCAGATTGTGAAATGTTTGTAAATCCTGAGCAGTCACACCATGGCTTTCTTGTGAAATGTGTTCTTCTGTTCTCTAACTCCGCCAACATGTGGTCCGCCTGGGTTTTCAAGCCTGTCACCTTTCACGACGACATGCTTACATTTCTGCAAAGAAGTGCGAAGCAAGTTAAGATCCTGTGGGATTTCACTCTTTTATCTTTACTCCATGTTGCAGACACATTCTTTTTTTTGGGTGGGGGCGGGGAGGGTAGTGGTTTTTATCAGTAGGAACTGCTGAGGTTATTAGATATGATAGATCACTTTTTCGGCACTGATTATCCATTCGGTAAGTTGTGATGGTTATTTTTCCTTCAGAATTGGAGGACTTCTGAAAGCTGCTTGCTAACTGGGAAGGGAGGAGAAAGGAGTTAGTAAGCGCCTATTGTTTGCAAGATCCTGTAAGATGCACCTCCCCCAAACCTTATTTTTCCTCTTTTCCCTGCTTGGTTCCTACAATTTACACCCATTTCCTAGCAATGCTTAGAGAATATCCATTGTCTGGAGACACTTGGACCTTCCCCCATTCTTATTCTTATGTAAGCCACATAAAAGTATATAGCAGGCTTTAGTCCAAAAACGGTTAGGTTTATCCAGTCTTGCTATTTACTGAAGAAAATCCTTAAAACACACACACACACACACACACACACACACACGTACGCACGCGCGCGCCACCCCCCCCACTTTGTAGTTTTAGGCAAAGTGTCGGGGAGGGAACATGTCGGTAAGATCTCCAGGGGGCTTTTAAAATGCAAACTCCTTTGAAAGCATTAATTTACATATTCTTTGGGTGGTGTCTCCTGTTTGGCCCATCAGCTAATGACTTAATTAATTTTAGGTCTTGGAATTTGAGAGTCAGCCCCAGTTTCAAATATTCTGATTTCATCTTAATTTTATGTTCCCGTTCGCCAGCTGAAAGCCTTGTGGCTTTTATAAGTGAAGTTGCAGGGTGATGTAGAGCAGGGAGCGGAGACCTTGGAAGTGAGCCTTCCACCCCCTCATTTAGAGGAGGAATTAAAGGCTCAAGGTACAGAGTAGGGACCACAACTCTACAGCCTCCTGATTTTCAGTTCTTGGCCAGACACAAAATTAAGTCTCCTAATTCTGGCCAGAGGCACTAAATCTTTTGCTGTGGGAAGAGACCCCTGCCCTACAATGACCTTTCATGCCCCCCTTTTTTCTACTTATCGCCTTCAGCTGCCATTTTCTACCTTGTAACCCTTCCCTTTCCACCTGACTTACTACTGATATTCTTGTTTTTCATTGTTTACTCCAATTCTGATAATAGAATGCAGCTGGTGGGGGTGGGTGCGGGGCAGGGAGTGTTCCCAAGCACTGGGTCCTGATACTGTCTGGGTCCTTCCCATACTTACCTTCCTAGATTCTCTCCTGTGACCAGTGAGCATTACTGTCCCCATTTTACAGTGGAAGCATACACATGGGTGTCCTAAATCACACAGATAGTAAACAGAAGCTGGGATTTGGATCATGTGTTGTTTCCCAGAAATTAACTCCTAGCCGCAGTTTTATAGTTTATTCTTTCACATGTCTATTGAGACATTTATTATCAACCTTTTTGCTAAAGCTGTTGAGC